TCGATTCCTCCAGGTTGCATTTCTTTTTTGCATTTTTTTCCCCTTTTTTTGAGTAAACCTCAGCGCTTCCCCAGTTGGGACAGCACGAAATTGTCTTTTGCCAATTTCAATACATGAGATTGGTTCGATAGTACATCGCTACACTGCTTTGGTTGTCGGTGGTGACAGCTCGGGAGTTGTGTTGCTAGACATGTCTCGCTGTACCGCGGTTTTTTTTTGTGGCTCGATTAAAGACGACCATTTGGTGGAATTTTCGCCACCAGGATTAGAGGTCTGTTGCTTCGGGACGCGCCCGTTCGTCGTGTTGGGTGGAGGCGAGTGCGTTGTTGGAGGACGGATCCGATTCTGGCCCAGTCACTGCCAGGGGGCTCGAGAACAACACTGTCCGATGTTGAGACTCGCAAGTTGCCGCAACGCCACGTTCCTCCGTCTCTCCTCAAACTCTCGGCACCCTGCCGTGGCGCCTTCGCAGCGTCACTATCTGCTACGTTCAACGCTGGTCATTGCTGTGGCCTTCTTGTGAGACTCGGCAATCCCCTCAAGCTCGGTGAGCTGAAACCAACACTGGGACTGCATCGATCCTCCCTTCGCCAAAGCGGTAGCCAAATTTGTACCACTTACAGACGCGCAACGAGCAGTCCTCGTGCATCGCCAAACAGCCATGTACGAGGCATCAATCTTCGACTTCGACCATCCTTTTCCCGACTTGGAACCGACGAGAGCACGGGAGGAGCTTCGCATAGCAGCGACCGAGCTTTCAGATCGTGGCCTGGCGTCTTCGTCGCGATGGACGCTCGAGCTCCTGCAATCTGTACCATACTCGGCCTCTCAGAATGGCAGCGGCCTTCTCTTCTCAGCCCAGAATCGTTCGGACGAGTCGGCGACCGGAGCGGCCACTCCAGCAACAAAGAGACACACGAATGCTAGACCGCTCATCCCGGAACATTCGACACCAGCCTTGGGCATGCAGCAGCGCATGTCGGTGGAGCCGAGGGGAGACGATGACTCGGTTCGCGACGTGTCCGGCAAGTTCGCCCCGAATGCCTACGCCTCGTCTCCGCTGGCCAATGCCCGCCTGGGCCAGCTAGCATCGCCCAAGCGCGACCCCGACAGCTCGCTCATCACCGTCGACAGCGAGGACGATGAGGCACCTGGATCGGCACACGTCCACTGGCAGTCGAACACCAACTCGGTCGATTGCTCACCGGGTCCATCGCAGCTTCGATTCGGGAGCTCACAGCCGCGCATATCGACCATGGAGGACGAGACGTACATGCTGGCAAAGAGTCATTTCGACCAGCAGCAGCTTGAACGGTGCATCTGGGTGCTCGAGAGCAGCAGCCATGCCTCGGACAAGGCATGTTTTTTGCGACTCTACGCTCGTTTCCTCATGTCGGAACGCAAGCTCGACGAGCACGGTATGGTCATCCCCAAACCCAACGGCACCCTCCCCGCCACCTCGCCCGAGCTCATCCCAATCCTGAAGGAGCTCGTAGATGCTGCCGATCCCTTCTTGCTTTTTCTCAAAGGCGCTATCCTCCGCAAGCTCAATCGTCCGATCGAGGCCATGGACTGCCTGCTCCGATCCGTCCAAAGCTTTGCGTACAATTGGGCGGCATGGCAGGAGCTAGCCATGACGCTCGAGCCAGGCGAGGTGGATCAGATCGCAGATCTGCTGCCTGACTCGTTCATGGCGAGCTTCTTCCGCGAGCTGCTGGATCGTCATTCTGCGCAGGAGGGCGACCTGACGATCGCGCGCATCGACCGTTTGCTCGAGTCGTTCCCCAGGTCGGCCTACCTGCTGACCTGCCGAGCGCAGACCAACGTACACCGCCTCGACTACATTGAGGCTGAGCAGGACTTCCAGGAAGCCTGGTCGATCGACCCGTACAGGATTGATGGGCTTTCCGACTACTCGAACGCGCTCTATCTGCTCAACCGGACGGCGGAGCTGGCGCACCTTGCGCATAAATTCAGCTCGTTTGCCAAGGATCGGCCAGAGGTGTGCTGTCTGGTGGGCAACTACTACAATCAGCGCAGCGATCACCACCGCGCGATCGAAGCGTTCCGACACGCGCTGCGCCTCGACTCGGGCTGTGTACCAGCATGGATCCTGCTGGGGCACGAGTACATTGAGCTCAAGAACAGCCATGCGGCCGCCGAGATGTACCGGAGGGCGCTCAAGATCAACCCGCGCGAATACCGAGCGCTGTACGGACTGGGGCAGGTGTACGAGCTCAACGGCGCCTACACGTACGCCGTCAACTACTTCCAAAAGTGCGCCGCCATCCGGCCGTACGACGGGCGCATGTGGTCGAGCATGGGTATCTGTTACGACCATCTGGGCCGATCGCAAGACGCCGTTTCGTGCTTCAAGCGCTATCTGGCCTGCCGGCTCAACCAAGGCGACACGGTGGTCGGTCTGACGCGGATCATCGAGGTGTACGAGAAGGAGCGCGACTTTGAAGCTGCTGCCTCGTACCACCGCCGGCTGGTGCAGGTGGTTGACCGTGCGCTGGCGGGGACCGAGTCAAACGTAGTCGCGCGCTACGCTCGCTCGTACATCATCGCAGCCAGGTGGGAGATGGGTGAGATTGGCGCAAGATCAGCTCAGCAGCGAGCCGCAGGTGACGAAATGGATCACGACGGTCGCGACGCCACGTCAGCCAAGGTGGGCAACCTGGCGCTGGCCAACGACTACCTGCAGAAGGTCATTGCGGCTGGAACCGAGATGACCGACAGCGCCGAGATCCTGCTGAAGCGACTCGCCTTCTTGCGTGATTAAGTTAGGGTCGAAGAAGCGGATCGGAGCTGATTGGACAGCGAAGGTGCGGCGTCAGATGTGATTCAGGGCCGAGCCGATGCAGCAATCTCGAGAAATCACATGGACCGGCGAATTCCTGTGGTTCTGCCAAACGACCGATCGACGTCATTTTGGCTGTGAGGCGTGTCAGCCGCTGCACAGCGGAGAAAAGGGAAGAATTTACGACGAAGAGCCGCAGTGAAGGTGGAGGCGGCTAATCACAGACTTGCAGCGCGTGCTGTTTGCATTGCCGCGGCTGACTATATCAAGCCAAGAGCTCGCCAGTCAGCTTCGGAGTCCGCTTTCACCACATCATCCACATCATCCACGTGCGCACGACCATGTCTTCGCCCAGGAACTATCTCGTGTGGGGCGCCAACGGCGTTTCTGGCATCGCTGCGCTGCGAGCGCTGGTCGAGCAGCCGAGCGAAGTGGTAGGCTCGATTCTCGCTGTTTCGCGCCGCCCTCCGCAGGTGGATCTCAAGGACAAACGCATCAAGTTTGTCTCGATCGACATCCTCAATGCTTCGGTTGACGAGATCGCTGGCCAGCTCAAGGCGAACGGAGGCGACAAGGTGAACGCGGCGCTGCACTACACCTATATTGAGAAGAAGGACGCTCAGGAGCTTCTGGACGTCAACCATGTGCTGCTGAGCAAGGCACTCGATGCCACGTATGCCGCAGCAGGAAAGCAGCTCAAGCATTTTCACCTGCAGACCGGCTACAAGTGGTATTCGCTGCACCTGGCCAACAAGGACATCGCTTCGCCCGTTCCGTACCAGGAGGACGCTCCGCGCGGTCCCACCGACCCGCCCAACTTCTACTATGACCAGGTGGACACGCTTGTAGCGCACGCCAAGAAGCACGGATATGCGTGGTCGGAAACGCGACCCAACACTATCATCGGAGCGGCCAAGGGCAACTATATGAACCAGGCGGTGTCGACGAGCCTGTACCTTGCGCTCGAGAAGGCCAAGGGCAAGAGCGAAGTGCAGTATCCGGGCAACAATCTCAACTGGGACCAGATCTTTGTCTCGCAGAGCACGGCGATCAACAATGCGCGCTTCCAGGTCTTCCTCACCGACCCTGTCAACGCGGCCAAGTGCGAGAACCAGTCGTTCAACATCGAGGACGGTGACAAGCGCACGCTCGGCCAGCTCTGGCAAGACCTCGCAAAGGAGCTCGGTCTCAAGGTGCTGCCTCCAACCGCGGCGGGCAAGGCCGAGTACAACGACAAGCCGCCCAAGCTGAGCCTGAGCCTTGACGAGTGGAGCAAGCGACCCGAGAACATCGAGGCGTGGAAGAAGCTCACCAGCGAGAAGGGTGGCGACCCCTCAGCCTTTTCCGACCACGCCACGTTTGCGTTTGCCGATTTCACGCTCGGCGCTACCTTTGACCAACAGGGAAGCCTCGACAAGGTCAGGGATGCGGGCTATACGACTGTCTGTGATACGGTCAAGGACGGCTATCTCGAGACCTACCGATACCTCCAGGAGATCGGCACTCTGCCCCACGACTGAAGGCGTGCTGCTGCTGCCGGGTCCAACCTCCTCCAATGACGCTTTCAATCAATTCATATCAGCTTTGCCTTGTACGCTCATTCAGCTTGTGCTTTGTGTGTTGCCGCACCGAGAGGATGATAAGCAGCAGTGACGCCATGATGGTGCGATTATCTGGACTGTCGGCGACAGGGCTCCGAACGGCCGAAGTCGGTGTGAAGCGCGAGGATTATTCCGAGGTGGAATTTCGCGTGTTGTTCTGCGCGACCGTCATCATGCACACATCAGCACAGACGCGCAGCTCGCTGAGCCGAGTGCCGAACAACACGGACCCTGACCAACCCTCCGAATGCAAGCCTCCTGCCACCATCTGGAGCGCAAGCATCTTGACACCCTTATACACAACATGTCGGCGCCCGACTATCGCTACTTGCAGGCGTGGAAGCGTCCATCGGCGTCCAAGCCGTCGTCCAGCTCGGGACGTGGATACGAGGGCCCGAGCTCGTACGAAGTCATCCTGCCCACCACGGACGGCGACACCGCCACGCCGGCGTCCGAACCTGTACAGGCGAAAAAGAAGGGCAAGGAGGAACCGCAGCAGTCGGCCTACCAGGTTAGACTCGATACACCGGGTGGCATCTCGTACGCGCCGGACGCGCTCGCTCAGCACAACTCGACCAAGCGGCTGTTTATCCCGGCTACGGTGCACGATCGCGATGCCAAGGAATACGACTTTGCACACGAGATCAGATCGCGTGATGCGAAGAACGCCAAGTCTGCGACAGCAGCGCCAGCCGAGCTCGACGAGCAGGGCCGCACGGCTGCACAGGCATACAAGGAGAGCGTCGAGCAAGACGCCACAAGCACCGCTTCACGCAAAAATGCGGATGGAGACAGCACCAAGCCGTTTGACATCCCCGCGTCTTCAGAGGCTTCCGAAGACAAAGAGAAGAGACAATCGCAGGTGGGGACTCAGCTGTCCAAGGACGACGCTGCTTCTATCCTGACGACTGCCACCGCTCGCTCGGTGCAGTCCAAGATGACTACGCTCACGCTCGCGGCGGAACGCGACCAGACTCTGCCGAAGAATGTCACTGCGAATGCCATCGCTGCACCGTTTCGACCGCCTCCTTCGGTGAGCGGCGATGCCGCGCACGCGCGCACACCCTGGGCGGCCACGGGCACCTGGACCACGCACCGCGCTCTCGACCGGCTCACAGACAAGGAGAAGAAGCTGGGCATCACGCAGTTCGAAGAAGCGACCGAGGGGCGCGTGCCGTCTTCGTACGAAGCGAGCCTCTTTCCCTCGGCCGACACCGCATCGGATGCAGCGACGATCCGGACGCTATGCGCCGGGGAGCTCCGTGTCGAGGACCTGTTTGTTCCCGATCCGCGTCCGTGGCGTCCGCTGCGCTACGTGCGCAAGGTCGATCCGCGCCAGATGCTCGTCCTGTGCGCTGGCGCCGCGCTGACACAGGGACAGGTGGCGGCGATGAAGCTCGGCAGCGACTCGAGCTCGGTGCCCACCACGGACTTCGGCGGGCGGTCGTCGGACGCAGCGTCCGTATACAGCGCGGTACCGACCGACTTTTCCGTCGAGGCGACACGCAAGGCCATGTTCGCGTCAGGCAAGCTTCCGGACTACAAGGCGCTTGAAGCGCAGCTCAAGTCCAACGCAATCTCGGCAGCTGTTCCCGGCGAGGCCGAAGAGAAGCGCGCCGGGCTTGGGTTTGTGTATTGCCCAACGCACGATTCGCGCGCGCGCCAGCCGGCCTACCGGCGCACACCCGAGGTCGTGGTGGAGCAAAACTTCTCGCGCCGTCTCGAACGTCCTCCCGAACTGTGCCACTCGACGTTACGCCGTGCCGCGTTGCGTGCAGCGCTTGCTGCCCTCGAGTTCCACCGCTGGGAAACCGAGGGCTTCGACAAGATCGTCATTGCCACCCACCACGGCTGGCTGGTAGACGGCATTAGCCGATGGATCTGGGAGTGGCGCCACAACAAGTGGCGCATCATGGCCGAGTCGCCGCTCGGCATGATCGGAGAACAGGTGCCCGACAGAGACCTCTGGGAGCTGCTCGACAGGGCGGTGAGGGCGTACGAAGAGATCGACTGCACAGTGCGCTTCTGGAAGATCTCCAAGGCTCAGAATGCGCAGGCCGTCCAGCTCGCGTCCGAAGGCGCATGCAAGGACAACCAGCAACCTCAAACTGTCAGGTGGACCAAGAAGAAGGTTCAGCCCAGTACATAGACCGTCCGCAACCAGAGTACATTCTTCGCGAGTGCCCTGTTCGCGCTTTGTCTTGTCGCGATGATTTGCGAGCGCGAGGATTACAGACGGACAAAGAAGAGGCGGG